GTAATCATTTATCAATAATGCTCGCTGGTTCATATCGACTGAGCCATTCCTGTGTCCTGCTTGATTAAAGTTGAGTGGTGGACAGCAAAATATTGACTTCAACCAACATGAACATTGACAAACAAAGAACCATGACGTACACCCATTGCCAGATAACGAAGTGCAGTTTAGTCACTAATGCATGTTCAATTCCACTGCATAAACAGTTTATTACAAAAAGCACTATATGATCAGCAACACTCCATTGATACGCCACTGTTTCGTTAACCATTGTACTGACGATGTAAGCGGGCCATTACGACTCATGAACATGGCTTAATGGCTTGCACTGTGTCACTTAACGCTGCTCATCACCGTACTGGGGATAGCCTGGCCTTAGTCTGTAGTTTTCTGGGCTCTCGTTTTCTGGTCTATCAAGCTACGGTGGTTTTATTGGGTGGATGAATTCGACCAAAGTTCGATGCCTGTTTCTCCCATAGTGGTGTGTTCAATTGCTAGCGGTTATGAAGAAAGAGCTTGTATTTGACGGAGTGACGTCCGGGTACGAGAAAAGGGCTTGTATTTGAGGCAATGACGTCCGGGTATGAGGAAAGGACTTGTATTTGACGCGGTGACGTCCGGGTATGAGAAAGGGGCTTGTATTTGAGGCAGTGACGTCCAGGTGTGGGGAAAGGGCTTGTATTTGACGCTGTGACGTCCGGGTATGAGGAAAGGGCTTGTATTTGAGGCAGTGACGTCCGGGTATGAGGAAAGGACTTGTATTTGACGCTGTGACGTCCGGGTATGAGGAAAGGGCTTGTATTTGAGGCAGTGACGTCCGGGTATGAGGAAAGGGCTTGTATTTGACGCTTTGACTTCCGGGTATGAGAAAGGGGCTTGTATTAGACGCTGTGACGTCCGGGTATGAGAAAAGGGCTTGTATTTGACGGAGTGACGTCCGGGTATGAGGAAAGGGCTTGTATTTGACGCTGTGACGTCCGGGTATGAGAAAGGGGCTTGTATTTGAGGCAGTGACGTCCGGGTATGAGGAAAGGGCTTGTATTTGAAGAAGTGATGTCCGGGTATGAGGAAAGGGCTTGTATTTGACGGAGTGACGTCCGGGTATGAGAAAAGAGCTTGTATTTCAGGCAGTGACGTCCGGGTATGAGGAAAGGGCTTGTATTTGACGGAGTGACGTCCAGGTATGAGGAAAGGGCTTGTATTTGACGCTGTGACGTCCGGGTATCAGGAAAGAGTTTGTATTTGACGCTGTGACGTCAATAATGATAATTAATAATGATAATTAATAATGATATCATATAATCGAATTTAAGATATCAGTAATAACCTTCACCGTATCCTTAATTCATTTTGTAATATCTTAAATTTTATTGCAGATATCTACTATTATCTGTATTTAAGATTTCTTCAATTCCATTCAAGATATCTTCAATTCCATTCAAGATATCTTTAAAACAATTGAAGATATCAGTAATTCCATGATAAATGTGGAAACGGCTTGCCATACTTCCGCTGTCAGGGCGGACGCCCTACCACTAGACCACGGAGGCGGTCTCAATAGATTAAGAAAGAAATGATTGGTTTGCATAATTCTGTATAAATCCGTGTCTAGCAATCTGTACAATATAAACACTGGTCGAAATACCGAAGAAGATTAATCATTGGAGAGAACTGGCTGTGTTGATACAACTTTCCCCAGTGTTGTTTCACGCAGGAAGACCTTGATAAATAGCAAATATCGGAGTTTTTTCGCTGAAAACATTTCCCAAATTGCTTCCTGACTGAGTATACCTAGCGGAAATCCTTATCCATCTTGATTATCGATCGAAGGACAACGGCGCGAAGAGATCACACGAGCCAGTTGTCACACGATGACGGAGTAAGTTAACTAGATTTTATCAAACCTGGATGTGGAGTGGAACAATGGCCGCCTTAGTATGGCAGTATTCCTGTGCGGATTTAGACAATAAACACTTAATAGGTTTCGGCCATGGGAGCCGCGGCGGGGGCGCGGTCGGGTAGCCTAGTGGTTAAAGCGTTCGCTCGTCACGCCGAAGACCCGGGTTCGATTCCCGACGTGGTACAATGTGTGAAGCCCATTTCCGGTGTCCCCGCCGTGATATTGCTGGAATATTGCTTAAAGTTGCGTAAAACCATACTCACTCACTCACTCACTCATCCGGGTTGGGGTGGGGAGGGGGTGGGGTACGTGATCTAGGCAATCACTTTCGTGGAAGCCTCGTTTGCTGAGTGGGTTAGATAGCTGACTTTGTGTGATGGGGATTAAGTGTCTTATTCTGGGATGGTGGGTTCGATAGTACGTGATCTTGGCAATCACTTTCGTGGAAGCCTCGTTTGCTGAGTGGGTTAGATAGCTGACTTTGTGTGATGGGGATTAAGTGTCTTATTCTGGGATGGTGGGTTCGATAGTACGTGATCTTGGCAATCACTTTCGTGGAAGCCTCGTTTGCTGAGTGGGTTAGATAGCTGACTTTGTGTGATGGGGATTAAGTGTCTTATTCTGGGATGGTGGGTTCGATAGTACGTGATCTTGGCAATCACTTTCGTGGAAGCCTCGTTTGCTGAGTGGGTTAGATAGCTGACTTTGTGTGATGGGGATTAAGTGTCTTATTCTGGGATGGTGGGTTCGATAGTACGTGATCTTGGCAATCACTTTCGTGGAAGCCTCGTTTGCTGAGTGGGTTAGATAGCTGACTTTGTGTGATGGGGATTAAGTGCCTTATTCTGGGAGTGTGGGTTCGAATCCCGGATGAGACTCAACCCAAAACAAGAACTAGAATCTGTACTTTAATGAGTGAGAGAGTTGGGTTTATCGCCGCTTTTAACAGTATTCAACTTATATCACGGCGTGTCAGCTTAATGTGGGAGGAAAGCCCGAAGTGATGCAGGTCTCAGACGTTTACCACTTCGGTGAAACCCACGAGCACAAACCTAGAAACATAATCCGGGCGAACCGGGATTCGAACCCACAATCATAGGTTTCTGGCCTGCCCAAGGGACGCAACCCTGCAGAGCGAATCGCGGCCCCTTAGACGACTGGGCTCCCTGTACTTTAATAAGAAAGTGTTATCCCAAATACTCGTCTAACATTTGTTAAATATTTACGGTTTTTATGAAAATTGTGTGAGCGGGGGATGTTGCCTCAAGATCAGGACATCCTCTTCGCGAACACCGGGTGTCAACACTGATTTTCAATGATCAATTAATATAACGTATACCACTATTATGGCTGTTACGCCCTGTTTCGGCAGATAATCGAGATTGATTATTCTCTGGCGTTGACGTTTTATAGTCCTTGGTCTGAAGCGTGTTCCGGTGTTGTCTATAGACAGTGATAGTCAATATATGGACGATAGTTGTATTCTCCTGTCAAATAACATGTTTGTCTCATCGAATGACCTGATGAAAGTTGATATTTCATACGTGAAATGTCAGATTTGTTAGGTCCCGATATAAAAAGCTTTACTTGACAAGAAAACATACGTTATATTTATCATGTTTTTTGTTACTAAACGTCACGTCTTTACTCCATGGCTTTAACCACTTTACTCCATGACTGTAACCACTTTACTCCATGACTGCAACCACTTTACTCCATAACTTTAACCACTTTACTCCATGACTTTAACCACTTTACTCCATGACTTTAACCACTTTAAACCATGACTTTAACCACTTTAAACCATGACTCCATAACTTTAAACACTTTACTCCATGACTTTAACCACTTTACTCCATGACTTTAACCACTTTACTCCATAACTTTAACCACTTTACTCCATGACTTTAACCACTTTACTCCATGACTTTAACCACTTTACTCCATGACTTTAACCACTTTAAACCATGACTTTAACCACTTTACTCCATGACTTTAACCACTTTAAACTATAGTGTCACTGAGGCTGTCGGAAGTAGTTTCACGTGGACAGTTATTTCAGTGAGATCGCAATTGTATTTATTCAGACGAATACGGTATTTCATTATTAAAGACATAATAAATGGTTCTAAGCCGCGTTGTTTAGCATTGTACCCATTTCGTGTAATAAAACCCAGGACCTCGGCTTGACGAGTTGACGCTTTAACCTCTAGGCTACCCAACCACCCACAGACAATATTTGACCGCCACCGTGGTCTAATGGTAGAGCGTCCGCCCGGACAGCGGAAGCGTTCGATCCCCGGCCGCGTCATACCAAAATACATTAAAATATTGTTGTTTCCTTACCAGGCGCTCGGCATTAATGGGCCAAAAAACAAGGACTGGTCGGCTCGGAGTCAGTATACTGTGTCTGAGTGGGGTATTCATGTTAAACTGCGACATGGTATCTCAGTGGGCTAGCAATATAAATAGGCATCAGTCCGGACTAGTACAAGCAGCCACACACACACACACGTGCATGTACGTCGCTATATAAGTGCAATAATCTTGGACGCGGCGTTAAACCCCATCTCACCTCACCTCACAGACAATAGATAGGAAAACCTGTTAATTATGTTGAAAATTATAAAGTTATTGTATATAAATGATGAAAAAGTGTAATTTATCCTCTTATGTAGTAAAATAGTATATTAATGTATATTGTCTGTGATTTATGATTTTACTATTTGACATGAAATGTGTAACTATGCGCCTGTATGGAAATGGCTTCGATTTCACTTGAAGACAATGATTTTACCTATTGACATGAAATGTGTGACCATTAACCTGAAGGGAAATGAGTTCGATTTCACTTGAAGACGTTAATTACATGTAGATCAATTTGTATATCCTATCTACACATTCAGTAATGCTGTATCTATTTCCCCAACTCCAGCGTTACCCCTCACCACGGGGACGGCATTCTGTGCCGGCAACTGCAACATCGCAGCGGCGAGGAACTGCCTCGTAAGATGAAACAACGCGCACCTGCACTGTCCGACACAGGTATTCGCGTCAAGACACTAGCGCTGTGACGTGCTGGGAGTATGTACGGCACCAATGGAGTAGCGCTAGTCTGTGATGGGTAGGCAGAGGTGACCGCCCTGGGCGGAGTCGGTTACAGTGGTGAATGTCGCGGGGCTGCTCTGTAAGAGTTAGCTAATGCAGAGGCATTATAGAGTAGATGCCAGGCCGACGGTGTCCTCTTTTGGAAATATATTTAGGATACGGACCTTCACAGCTGATATCGAACGGTACGTATATTGGATGTCTGACGACGTCTATGTGGAATAAGACATATAGAACTGATATCAAGCAATACGAATGTAGAACATCAATGATATATACTGACACGAGTGTAGAATGAGGACATATATCTATTATATATACTGACACGGTTGTAAAATAAGGTCATATAACATATGCCCACGCGAGTGTGGAATAAGGACATATATCAGTTATCTATTCTGACCCGAGTGCCGAATAAGGACATATATCAATTATCTATTCTGACACGAGTGTGGAATAAGGACATATATAAATGATAGATACTGACACGAGTGTGGAAAAAGGACATATATAAATGATAGATACTACCAAGAACGTGGAATAAGGACATATATCAATTATCTATTCTGAACCGAGTGTGGAATAAGGACATATATAAATGATAGATACTGACACGAGTATGGAATAAGGACATATATCAATTATAGATACTGATACGAGTGTGGAATAAGGACATATATAAATGATAGATACTGACACGAGTGTGTAATAAGGACATATATAAATGATAGATACTGACACGATCGTGGAATAAGGACATATATCAATTATCTATACTGACCCGAGTGTGGAATAAGGACATATATAAATGATAGGTACTGACACGAGTATGGAATAAGGACATATATAAATGATAGATACTGACACGAGTGTGTAATAAGGACATATATAAATGATAGATACTGACACGAGTGTGTAATAAGGACATATATAAATGATAGATACTGACACGAGTGTGGAATAAGGACATATATAAATGATAGATACTGACACGAGTGTGGAATAAGGACATATATGAATTATCTATTCTGACCCGAGTGTGGAATAAGGACATATATAAATGATAGATAATGACACGAGCGTGGAATAAGGACATATATAAATGATAGATACTGACACGAGTGTGGAATAAGGACATATATAAATGATAGATACTGACACGAGTGTGGAATAAGGACATATATAAATGATAGATACTGACACGAGTGTGGAATAAGGACATATATAAATGATAGATACTGACACGAGTGTGGAATAAGGACATATATAAATGATAGATACTGACACGAGTGTGGAATAAGGACATATATAAATGATAGATACTGACACGAGTGTGGAATAAGGACATATATAAATGATAGATACTGACACGAGTGTGGAATAAGGACACATATAGAACTGGCGTCAAGTGACATGCATTTCACGTGTATCCTTATGATGTACGAGGACGCGGAAACTGATTTCAAGAAAACGTTATGTGGAGACTTCGTTGTTTTAACGCGTGGTGTGCCAACGTATAAAGGATGAGAAGTTTCTGTTTGGGATGACTCTTCCCTGAGGACATCGCCACCATGTCTAACGTGACGACGACAGTAACGACAGACGGGGAAAGCACGGCACAGAAGTACCTTCAGACGGTAACACTGGCACTTCTCATCCTGCTTGGCCTGGGCTTGAATCTCATCGTCATCGTCACCTACATCTCCAGCAAGCTGCTGCGGCACAGCAAACACAACGTCTTCATCATACACTTGATGCTGTGCGACATGATCTACGTGCTGTGGGTGATGCCGGTGTCGGGGGCGGTGGTGTTCTGTCCACACGACGCCTGCTTCCCCGCGCTCAGACAAGGATTCTTGTGTGAGGTAAGCATTTAATTTTGTATCGTTTGTATTTCAACAGTAAAACCTGTATTCATGCTTAAACATGGATCCCTGGGGCCTGCTCTTTTAAGGTGTTGGGTTAGCGGTAGGATAACCGCCACTTTTGCCCTTGAATGGGGTAACGGTGACACAAAACATGGGATTGTAGATTGTAGAAACTATAGGCGGGCTGAAATTATATGAGCAAGATTGGCATTCGTCTTTCGCAAATGGCTAGAAAATATTCAAATTTATTTTTGTAGTTGAACCATAATCCAACATTGTAAAATGAATAAACATGGACAGGCTTTTCCTCAAGGTAGAGACCCATGACGACCCGGGGTAGAATAGGTCTTCAGCAACACATGCTTGCCGTAAAAGGCGACTATGCTTGACGTAAGAGGCGACTAATGGGATCTGGTGGTCAGGCTCGCTGACTTGGTTGATGCATGTCATCGATCCCAATTGCGTGGATCGATGCTCATGATATCTATCACTGGATTGTCTGATCCAGACGCGATTATTTACAGACCGCCGTCAGCTGGAATATTGCTGAGTGCGGCGTAAAACAACAACCAACCAACCAACCTCAATGCAGGAGTATGTCGTATTAGCTCAGGATAGAGTCCTGCATATATCTTGGGGAAACAGGACTGATATACTGATAGACTGGTAGACAGGACTGATAGACTGGTAGACAGGACTGATAGACTGGTAGACAGGACTGATAGACTGGTAGACAGGACTGATAGACTGGTAGACAGGACTGATAGACTGATAGACTTGTGTATTTTATGTAAGAAAAGCATATGTTGAAGATGAATATCATGTTTTACTTTTTTGTAATGTAGGTATCTGTTTAGGTGGAACATGTTCCCTGAGCCTTTCTTTCATGATAGGGGCGGTCGGGTAGCCTAGTGGTTAAAGCGTTGGCTCGTCACGCCGAAGACCCGGGTTCGATTCCCGACATGGGTACAATGTGTGAAGCCCATTTCTGGTGTCCCCCGCCGTGATATTGCTGGAATATTGCTAAAAGCGGCGTAAAACCTTACTCACTCACTCACTCTTTCATGATAATGGTCCGTATGTGGGATTCGGATAAAAACATATATTCCCCGTGGAGGCTGTTGGTAAAGCCAATTTCAAATTGATAACATCTTTGTGATGTTTTTAGAAGTTAATCGTTGTTGTTATTTATTTTTGTATTGTTTTTGTTTTTAGATTTTTACATACTTTTCAGGTGGTTAGTTTAGGATAAATATACATATTTAATATGAATCCACTAAAGTTCCTTATCGGAGAAATATGACATTCACAAGAAGTTCCATAACAGCACTATCCCCTTTCTTAAAGTCGGTCATTGTTTTGCTACATGCAACCTTGGTACTTTTAGTACAAGGGACATACGCCTCTGGGAATAATAGAAAATGTGATCTCTTGGAATACTCCTTAATCGTTTGAGACCGCCTTTTTGGTCAGGTGAACAGGGCGCCAGCAGAAGGTCGGTATTCCATCCCCTGGCCGCATCATACCAAAAGACCAAAAGGTTTTAAAAGATGGTACAACATACTTGTTGTTACCTTGTCTTGAGCTCAGCAATAAGGGGATAAAAACAGGTACTGGTCTGCACGGTGTCAGTATACTGTGTCCGAGTTGCAATTTGGTATCAAAGTTATACCATGGCATATCGGCACCATAAAACCGGCATAAATCTGAGAACGCATCATTTAAGTTTGCTGTACTGAGTTGTGTCCCTCAGATATGCCAGGATCCGATGACCAAATCCCAGATTATGATCCTTTGATTGTCAGCAAGTAATAAACATTTTAGATAAGGGTCCCCTCTGCTGACACGCTGTGATTGCAATTTGGTATCAAAGTTATACTATGGCATATCGGCACCATAAAACCGGCATAAATCTGAGAACGCATCATTTAAGTTTGCTGTACTGAGTTGTGTCCCTCAGATATGCCAGGATCCGATGACCAAATCCCAGATTATGATCCTTTGATTGTCAGCAAGTAATAAACATTTTGTATAAGCGTCCCCTCTGCTGACACGCTGTGATAGAATTGTAATATTGACCCAAGCGCCGTTAAACCAATAACTCGCAATATTCCTCGGTGAAATATACCTATTGTAAATACTCGCAACCGTGTTCATCTCTCAACCACTATACACTTAACACTGTCTAAGAGAAATCATCGACTATAGGAGCTGTCAAAATATATCTATTGATTGCATGCATCTTAATGCTGCACAGTACTTAGCAGCTGACCTCGCCTAGGTGAATACTAGCTGACTGTCGTTCATTTCCCGATGAACGTCAGTAACGTCAGTATGTCACGTGATTACGTTGTCAATCGAGCGGAGACATACAGAACTACTTTAGGGGAATTCAGTGTCTAAAAATAACGCCAAATGGGGAGGGTAACATCTTTTAGATTGTGCACATTCCACCCAAACTAAATCATTAGGGAAACTAGTTTCTAAGGTTTCATGGCTGATGTTTCCAAATATAAAAAGTGTTCAAAACGGTACACAGCCCACAGTCTGAGATTCAGGCTATGAATGATACATGCTTTGAAGCCAGACAGATCATGTATATGTCGGGTCACCGAAAAGAAGCGTCCATTCAAAGCTATAACAGAGAATGCTTGACTTACCAAATGATATCACTGAGCTCCCCAGTGTCGTGTATTGCTTCGGGAAATCCGAATGACTCAAACACACTCAAAGGTCACAGAACGTTAATATCAATCAATTTTCAGCATCACCCGTGTCTGGATGTTTTTCCAACGCAAACTTTACCGGATGGAACTTTTATTTCAAGTGAATGACATTGCCGTAGCCGCCATTTTCTGCCGTTTGTTAAACAAAGGGATGTCACTCCAAATGGAGTTTGGGACGGATGACGTCACGACCCTACGCGTTGATATAGTTCGATTTAATAAAAAAAATAAAGTTTGGATTAATGGATTGTTTTGTTATGATCTATAGTTTCTGTCAGTATAAGGATTGATGTTGTGTTTGTTGTTCATCAGCTGATGAAGACAGTGCCTCACATGAGCAAATTTACCATTTTGCAGTGCCAGTTTGCTCACGTGAATGAAGCGTGGTTTATTTCACGATAAAACATTGTTCTATCATGGCGTCATTTCTGGAAATTGGAATATGCGCTCGCAACCTGATGACGTCATATATTGGACGACTTTATTTTTGTGAGGGATGTGTCTGGTAAGTTGTTCCATAGAGATGTAACTGGGCTACGAAGATAAACGCAGTGGCTAAACGGTCGAAGCCAAACATAGGAGATATATGACACTCGGTATTAGGAGAAACGGTACCGATAATTGACATGAGGATAATGACACTATGTGGGAAATACCAAACTTAACCCACCTGTTTATAAAATGGACTTGTCCGACATTGCCAAGGTCGGATTCTACTCATGGAGTCATCCCTTTTTTAATGCGGGTAAATGTTTTTAAAGCTTGTACATTTTAGCATTAAAAACATCCTTAAAGATGCTGTACATAATATTGATATATCATATAAGAATTAATCCATTCGTGGTCGTTGTTTATCGTACAATGAAACAAACCACTCTGGGCTGCAACCCTCATGGCCTACAGCTATTACTTACTTACTTACTTACTTACTTACTTTGGAGATTTAACGTGCGCTTTCCGACTGATGCGTATTTCGCACACGGGCCCGGCCAGGGCCATTTAATGTGTTTCCGAAAGGGGCGAAGTTGTCTGTGCAACCCAAGAGGGGGGTTTCGGGGTTGCTTATATAGAATTTGGAAATTTTGAGATTTGGAATAGATGCCGATGGGGTTGGGGAGGAGAACTAAGGGAGCTGGGTATGGTGGATGTTTGTTTGTTTATGTGATTTTGATTTGGTAGGTTATTGTGTTTTTAGATTCGTTTTATTAGTTCCGTTTTTATTAAGAATACGCCTAAGGCCTTGAAGTTTTCTAGTTTATTTTGTGGGTTAAGTATTGCTTCTAGAGTGAGAGCCTTGTTTAGATTGAGGGTGGTTTGTAATGCGGTTCGATGTGTTAGGTAGTGTGTGCAGTGGATGAGTGCGTGTTCTGGGGTTTCTGGTTGTTTGCAGTGTGGGCAGTTACCTGTAGTGTGTTTTGGGGGGTTTTTTTTAGGTGGTTATTTAGGTTGGTGTGTCCTGTTTGGAGTTTTCTGATTACTCTGTCGATTTTTTTTTTATGGATGGAGCTATTACTCGTCGTTTATTTCTTAAATAAAGGCCACCTCGATGTCTTTCCGAGAACTGTGTATCCATTACCATGGCCCACACTGTACAAGACCGTGATGAACTCTTTTGTTGACTTTTTTTAACTACAAGAAGTCATCAACATCAAAAGACTCCAACCGTCAATCAACCGTGATCAAGCCTATTTACATACCCCGGAGTACCATCAACCCATCAAAGACCCCGATCAGTCACAATACCTTTGTTTATACTCCTGGCTTCACCTGTTAAGACGTTTACCGTATATCCCCCCTTTTGTGTACATACAGGCTTCTCCACTCCAGTGTAACTACACCCCAGTCTACTCAACTGTACAAACACTGCCTCATACCTGTATATATTGCTTGTCAAACAGACTCTGTACACTTCTTGTGGATACCCGCCCACGTAGGAATATACGGTAATGAAAACGCCGATAAAGCAGCTAAACTATCCCTCAAAATCCCAGAAATAAGCTTAAACTTACCCATCTTAAAATCAGAAATTAAAAGTGTAAACAAGCAAAAAATCACAAAAAATGGCATAACCTATATCTAAACTCAAATAGCCAAATCAAAAAAGTGCTCAGCAAACCACTAACCAAACCAAAAATTCTCCATCCATCCAAACAAATCGACAGAGTAATCACCAAACCCCAAACAGGACACACCAACCTAAATAACCACCTAAAAAAAATAAAAAACACATTACAGGTAACTGCCCACACTGCAAACAACCAGAAACCCCAG